TTTCTTATCGTTCGTTTAATTTCGTTTTTTCTTTTTCGTTTTCCCGTTTCGTTTCGTTTTCCTAATTTCGTTTTTTCATTTCGTTTCGTTTTCCTAATTTCGTTTTTTCGTTTCGTTTCGTTTTCCTAATTTCGTTTTATAGTTTCTTTCTTTTGTTTAATTTCGTTTTTTTCATTTTGTTTCATTTTCCTAATTTCGTTTTATAATTTCTTTTCGTTTATTTAATTTTGTTTTTTTATCTCGTTTTTATTTTTTATTTTATTTTATTTTATTTTATTTTTATTTTTTTTTAAAAAAAATTTAAGTAAATTAATAAAACTGTTGTTCAACAAATAACAGATTGCATGTTAAAATAAAATGACTAAAATTTATAAAATAATGTGAAAATATTTCTGAAAAATTATATTATAGTAAAATTATATTTGTGTAATGAAATCAGTAATTATCTACTATAATGAATAATTTGTTAATGCTATAATGAATAATTTATTATAATGTTAATGAAGATTTTTATAATGAAGTCCTGATTAGCTGGATCAGCAACTTCGTTATATCGAGGTGTAACTGTATTGATTAAAAGAAATTCAAAATATTGGTTATAAAGATTCTAAATTTTTATGCTGTTATATTATAAGATATATCTTTATCAATTGAATCACATCTACAGAGAGTAGACAAAAGTTTCTAGATACCTTTATAAATGCAATTTAAAAAATTTTCATAATATAATTATAATACCATACTGTGGTTATATGACCATCAATTATTTATTTACATAATCAAAATAAAAAAATTTGTGTTGTTTTTGTTATTTTAATTTATATCATTTAATCTCTACCAAATCGAAAAATAATAGAACAAAATAAAGAATTAACCAAAGAACAATGTGAAGCCATATTTTATTGTTACCAATGTGGTGACAGTTATCAGACTATTGCAAAGATCGTTAATTGTGAAAATCAACTGTTTGTAATACATTAAAAAGAGCTAGCATCACAGGATCAACTTTGCTTTAGACAATTATCTTTGATAATAATTCCTCAACATAATCACCTCAAATGAATCATTACAAATGATAAAACTAAAATCGTCATTTTTGTACTACTGGAATGCAGCAACTTTGGAAAAAAAAGTCTGAGTAAAAAGTTTCAACCCAGATTATTAGATGAGTTCTCCATTCAACTGGATTAAGAAATTGTATTACATAAAGAAACCTTTAATTTTACTAGTGAATATAGAGACACGTCTCACATGGTGTTTAGAGCACCAAAGTTAGACAAAAGAGGATTGGTTAAAGGTCATGTGGAGTGATGAATTGACCTTCTCTCAATTCTAATAAAATCACAATAGCAGGGTATGACGAGAATCAGCAGATAAGTAGGCTTTATCCTGTATATCAGCCACAGTAAAGCATAACCTAAGTCATATGTATTGAGGCTATTTTTTTCAAAAGGAAAAAGGGCCAATTGTTATATTATCTGAAATAGCAAATGGTGAATTACATGTTACTATTCTTTGTAAATATGTAATGCCAGCTATGAGATGAATATTTCCTAATAATGATGGCTGATTTTAAGAAGATAATGCTCATTTACATAAATTAAAAGTTGCAATGAATTTTCAGGCAAAAAATGATTTTCTTACATTAACTTGACTAGCCTAAAATCCTAACCTTAACCCAATTGAAAATTTATAGGCTAAGATTAAAAAAAATATTTGTGCATATAAAAAACTACTATCAAATCTTGCTAACCTTGACCGATATGTAAAAAGGCATAGCGAGAAATTCTGATGCATACTATTGAAAATTTAGTTGATAGCATGCCACAGCGAATTCAGGCTGTGATTGTGACAAAGGGAGGCCAAACTAAGTATTAAAAGCTTAATATTAATTGTATGCCTTAACCAGCTCTAAATAAAATAATATTAAAACTTTTACTATTAATACTAAAGAATTATCAGTTTTATATTTGATGAAAAAGTATCTAGAAACTTTTATCTACCCTCTGTATATCAGTTTTCATACTAGATAATATATGTTAAATAGATAAACAACTCTTATAAAACCTATATTTAATGATAATTTTCCAAATGTAGTTTATTCAAAATTATTATAAACAATATGCATTATGTGCAATCCACATCCAATTCGTATAACATTAGAATTTGTTTCTTTGTTAAAAAAGTGCAATTACTTCATTTTGGCTACCTGACATATAAGCTGTATTGTCTATTAACCATACTGAACATATTTTAGTATCAATATAAGCATTTTCAAGTATTTTTTGAATAGCTTGTGATACTGTTTTACCATTACATTTATCAATATTTTTAAGATAAATCATTATTGCAAGAGGTTTATTTGATTGTACTTCAAAATATAAAACAAACCAAAAAATTTTTAATTCTATTTCGTTTTGATTCATCCACTATTATACCATAGCTATTACATTTTTTACTTCTAAAAGATGTGAATTTATTTGTAAAGTTAAGACATCTTTATGTTATGTAGCTAAAACACCATATGATAACTAAGTTTTGGATGGTTTTCCAATTAAAAACTCATAAAACAATTTTATAGATTCTACTGCTGATCGCATAGAAATTTGTCTAATTTGTGTCATTTATGTTGCCATCCAAACTGTATTTGCTAAATATAGTTTCTCATTTTCTTTAAATAATGATTTAACATAATTTTTAAATACAGACCTCCGCCAAAAGTCTCTGAACGCTTTTTGGCTCAATGTAAAACTTAAAATTTTAAAGTTTATTAAAAAAATTTATTAATTTATTTATTAATGTACGATATGCTACACATTTGGTACTAAATAATTAGTACTTGGTCGGGCCTTTATTTGCTTCATCACAGCCCGAATTCGCTGCGACAAATCGCTTCAGCCGGCTTCGCTGCGAATCTTTAATTAAGGATGGTCGACCAGAACGAAGCCTCGAATTAACGGTTCCGGTGTCATCCATTCTTTTTAAAGTTCTAAATATTATTAAAAATCCACAACCGATATTTACGGTAATAGTCCGGTAACTATCACCACGTTGACGGCAAAATATATACTGCTGTGTTGTTCTTTGAACATTTTCGTGGTTTTCAGAAGGTAAATTTTATTTTGGTTAAAAATCAAAATAAACAAACCAAACACGCTTTTATTTGGTTTTGATTTAAGCACACAAGGTCAGGTACATTACATGATCGCAGTATTATACAGTCATATGATGTATTCGGTATGAAATAGCCAAAAGATGACGTTCAGAGACTTTTGGCGGGGGTCTGTACATCTGGTGATATTGTTGTTAATCTTTGAACTAGTGATCGAATTGTTGAAATATGAGGTTTCTTTTGATCCTTTAAATGACGTGTTATAGATCCTAAAGATTGTATTTTATGGATTAGCTGCTTATTTTTATGATCTAATTCTTGAACTTTTTGATGTAGATCTTTATAAAGAGTATAATGCTTTATTTTGCAAATAAGAAGATAATATTCGTCCTTTTTGAGAACCTTTGGAGAGCGCATTTTGTTTAGTAAATGCTGAGCTGGTTTGACTTTAGTTTCCAATAATTGATCAATTGTTGTATGAAGAGAACGTCATTTTTCAGTCCTTTTCTTTTCATTTTTCTTTTCTATTAATTTTTGAGCACGTATTTCACGTGCTCTTTTCAAATGGCGGGCTTGTTTTGTGATTAGCCATTTGTCCATGAAAAAATCAGAAATTTGAGAAATCATGTTATATTAACTTTTAAGTAATACTAAAAATACAAACGAATACACAATAACTTGAAGAAAATTAAAATAGAACGCCTTTTTTAATAAATAAATTTTCCTATAAAGAAGCCGTTAGAAAGCTTACTATATGTTTGTTACAGTTCTTTTTAAAAAATCGAACTATTTCATGAAAGAGATAGTGTTTTTCGCAGAATTCGAATGAAAAATGAGGAGAATCCAAGTTTAAAAAATTTAATTTAAAGTTTATTATAAAAAACTAATTTTAATAGTTTAATATGTCGATCACGAAAATAATAAACTTGATATATATATGTCCATACATTTATTTGATTTAATTAGTATATCTACCACCCCAGCGTACCAGCGTAACATGTCCAGTGACTGATAATAAACATTTCCCGCGCAATTTTGAAATTCAATTGACGCACCTCATTTGACATATAAAATTGACGCACCCATACTTGGAAAGTTGGGTTAGACATAATACAGCTTTCCAAAAATGGAAAAAATAGGCGGATATGACAAATTTGTTCCAAGTAAAATTTTTATTTGTTACATATTTGATTATTTGCCTGACTCAAATATATTAAATCCGGCTACATTTTTCAGGGCGACGTTGTACTTTTTTTCCGATAAAAATATCTGATAAGAATATAATTTTTGGCAATTCATATTGATCGTAGCTTTATAGTAAATATCGTTCAAGTAGGGCACATTTTGTAAGAAAATAAAGGTTTATCATAGATAGAGCATAGCAGAGTCTCTATGCAAAACACAAGCAAACAAATCATGAAGAGATATTGATTAAATCTTAAAATGAGTTTGGGAGTTTATTAATTCTTATTTAGTAATATCTTAAACTGAAGTTTCGAGTATTCGTTCTTATTTATAATATTTTAACTGAGTTTTGGAGTTTATAATTAAATTCTTAATATTACATACTGTACACATCAAAAAAAAAAATACTTAATAAGGAAAAAGACGTATAAAAGTTCTCAAAGAAAAAATTACGATCAATTTGCATTAAATTTTTTTTTAAAAAAAAAAAAAAAAAGTGTAATGTAAATAGTTGGATCCCCCGTATTCTACCCCTAAAAACGATTTAATTCTTGTTAAGAAAATCCGAATATACAAATGTTCTTTGCTGGTGAATATTGATAAGTAATTTACCTTATTCTATCCAAACTTGCGGGATAGGTTCTAAGCAACCTCAATGTGAAAGTCCAATTAGAGTGCTAAATATAACAGTGTCAATAACCGATGAATAAAAGATTTCGATATTAAAATTTTTATGCGAAAAAAAATAATCTACCTAAAACTTTATCTCCAAAAATCGTGGTCTGCTTCTTTGGACGGGTTTGGATAGTGGATAAGAATTCTTGACCTCCTGACTTCAATGGGTTGGTTTATATGTAATTTCGGACTCCCATATTAAATGGGTTGGAAAAGGAAGGTTATTGTATGATGAGAGGAAACCTCCATCTATCAGGAGTCGGGGGATTGAAAGTTCTTAATTATCTTCGTTCGTATTGATGGAGAGAACGGGTCAAGGTCAATTTCGCGGTCTTATTTATAACGAAGATGGCCGTCATATGATTAAACAAACTTTCTCTTTTCCTTCTTTTTGTTTTGTTTACTTGGCATTTTTTTTTTTTTGAACAACGAATCAAATTATTAATGCATACATATAATATAAATGACGGCGTGCATCACAATTTATTGGAAGAAAAAAAAAAGTGATATGAAATTGGGTGATGTGATGGTTCCGATTCCCATTGAGGCTAGATATGGAAATAGTTCTAATTATTAAAGTGCTACACAAAACTACATGCTTTATCGTATACCAATCAGCCAATCAATTGGATCAAAAAGTTATCACATTGTATATTTTCTCATTCCATCACATCTTTCATATATATTACCAGTATTTATAAAGTTCAATAAATTGGTGATGTGAAAAATCTACGCGATAATTGCATTTAGGTCACCGTTATGTTGTTAAATCAAATGGGATACAAAGTTTAACCAGATAAGTAATTTCATTTAAAGTTTAAAAAGGTTGGAATTAAAATTTTTTCTTGCATATGTATTGTTCTCAGGGTAAGGTTCCATTTACCTTATTGTGATGAATTGTTTAGGCAACTATCATCCGGTATGAACCTTTTACGTTGTTTCTCTATTTTTAATTAAGGAGCTTTGGATGTGTACGCTCATAAACAATAAATGCTTTAAACATCGAATGATAAGGGGTTTCCCCTTAAAATTATTCTCATGTGTTCACATAATCACTTTAATCGGGATAATATATTTATTTACATTATTTCAACTTTTCCATATTAAGAATAATTTTGTATGAAATTTATATCAATGTTTATCGGGCGCGAAGCCTATCATTGTTACAAAAAGCCGAAATCTTCCCATCTATTTCTATTTATCATACCTAATTTATCACTGCAATAACAATTAAAAAAATAGATTCTTTGTCTTGGTGGTTAAACTTTATTAAATCGACAAAAAAGGAAGGCTAATGGCAAACAACAAAAAAGCTGTACTTTTCCTATCAATCAATCCTTTTGTTTTCTATTTTTATCGTGCAGAATTTATCGTTAATTAACGATTAAATAAAGTTTGAATATTTTATTTTTTCTTCCGAGATAACAAGCCGAAACATGAACATTTGACACGACAAAGATCTTCCAACACTTTTTCACCCACGTGACCATATATAATTTGTCACGCCGCGTAACGCCCTCCGATTTTTTCATTTTTACTATGTATTCCAATTGTTTTCAATGGAAATATTCTATTTGTCACCTTATTTGTCACGCGGATAATTTCAATAATGCCGGCTAAAAAAAGGGTTGTCGGTACTAGTTCGCGACAAAGATCGGGCACGTGATTATAGTAATATACTTTAATGTTGGCCAAGTCATTTAATAACGGCTCCGAGCAAATCATAAATTACTAAATGTTTCAAAATTTGAGAGCACATTTAATTATCAGAATCAAGTACTGGAACGGTTTCACCAATTGTTTATTACACCAACAAAAATTGTACCACTATACTTGAAACATTTGTCATTATTATTATTGTTAAATATATTATTAGCATAACAATCCTGTGATTTTGGTTTTTTTTTTGGTTTTTTGTTTCCATAAATGGATATTATATTTTTAATTGAATAAATGACGAGTAGTGATCATGTCCGATCGTTCTGTAAAAAGAAACTGCAGGCTCATCAGCTGATCACGCGTTATTTGTGTTACGGAACTTATAACAACTTCTGTAATTATTTTGTTCAACTAATCGCAAAATGGAAAAAAGGAACTTCTAATATTGAAGTATTATTGTGAGGCTCGTTGAAAGATTATCTTTATACGAAAGGTGTCGGCAACTTTATAAAGATAACGTTATTAGATAATTTCATATCGGGGGATTGATTATTGTTATTATCATGTGATTTATAATCTTTAGTCGGGAAATCAGAATATCCGTCTGATTACTTCCGGAAGTCGAATCTTTGAATTAATATTATTTAAAAACTTTATTTAAAGTAAGCTGCTCAACCTATAATAATAATATTACCAAACAGACACAAACTATTCAAATGCCGTGCTGTCACGAGAAAATGATAAATCAGTCATAAAATTTTTTTCTTTCCTTGTTTCATTTTCTTTGATAGAGTGATTGAGGATATAATTCTAATAAGCATCCAAATTAGAAATATTCCATAAAATAAAATAAAAGAAGCTTAAAATTCACGAAATCATTTAAATAAAAAAAAGGTAAATATAATTTACCTCTCTATCTTAAGTCTCAGCAAATCTACCAGCTATAACTAAATTTTATCAATACCACATAAAGAATCTTCTCTTGTCTGTTGACAACGAGCAATTAACCACTCTGAAACAAAATAAGAATCGGGATAAGAAAACAGATCTCTGTATCTGTTGTTCCATACACGTGAATATTTTTAGTATTGGGTTAAAACGGTACGGTCACGCGTTTCGAAGTGAGGTATCAGAATGCTAGCATTATTTAGTCCATAACGAAGTGAAGGATTATATAATACTATGCAAGGTGATACAAGATGTCCCGACGTCCGCCCGCTCAATAATTGATTGGCTTTGTAATTTGCACAAAAGTCTAGATAAAGCAAATGCCAGTGTGAATTTTTTTTAGTTAAGATCGTTCCGGACTTAACAACGGTTTCCCGTTTCCTAGTAGATAGCAATTGACATAAATTTCAAGACAAATGAAAAAAAAAAATGTACTACCAGGTGGATGGATTGATTGTTGTGTCTTCATTTTCAGCCATCCAAGTAGCAATTTCCGAAAATGCCAATATCTTCACTGAATGGAGCATGTAATTTGAGTCACGTGGAGGAATCGGAATTTTCTTGGGCTTCGCGGTCAGCAAATTTATGATACCAATGAAGCTACCCAACCAGTTGATGACAAGGAATCTGATTCTAAAGACTATTATGATAAGGAAATTAAACATTATCCGAAAATTAATCAATAAATCAATTAGATTGAATTTCGAAACTTATTACCACGCTAAATGAAATCATAAGCAAATTTACATTGTAAAATTTTCTATCACAAAGTCAAATTTTTTGATAATAATGTGTTCATGCAAAATGATGTTATCTAACCTATGGTAAAAGAACAACATTAATACATTATAATGTAAATAAAGGAAAATATAAATATATTTTTAACATTACCATTCGAATTTCGAGTATTTTCACTTGTAAAACTTAAATCCCAATGCTATGATTTCAGCATCTATTGCAGTGCAATCCCAAATGGATTAAGCACATCGCCATCACCGTTTATATCAACTACCTTAACTTTCATTTTCTAAATTTTCTAATGCAGGAATTCTCAATTAATTTTAGATTTTATGTACTTTATGAATTCCTGTGGTTAATGCAGCAACCAATCGGTAAATACCGAATAAGCAGGATCTGCATAAAACTGATTTAGAATAATTGATCATAATAAATTAGCATCAGCTTTAACGACGCAACTACGCTTGTCCAGTTGAGTAGTTTCAACAATCCATTTCCGTGATTTCATCCATGTTAAGCTTTGATAAGTCCTCAAACCTCTAACTCGGAAAGTATTTTCCCAACCTAGCTTTCTTTAATTACGATCATCTTATTGATGAACTCCGTGAAACTTAATTAATTTAATAACTCATATCAGATATATGAAGTATCTTATAAACCTCCTGCAATTGACCCTTTTTGATTCTATAGTTAACATATTAGTATCTTTTCCAGAAGTAATTACATGATGAGCGCCAGAATTTCCACATATGCATTTGAACTAAATAATCATTGAGCTGGCTAAAGAATAATTGTCAGGTTGAAAGATTTCGACAAGTTGGAGGTCTGACAAAAAAAATTTCTACAACTTGATCACACTTCTTTGAAAGTTCAGCATCATCCTTATGCAAAATCCATTTTGCTA